ATGGTAAAGTACTGAATGGTTTGGATAATGGTAAATTCTGAATAGTTTGAGTAAAAATCAGACTTATAGCACCTGGATCTAGAAGTAGACAAAATGCCCCTAAAACATGTCTACAGAAAACTCCCGTCAGTGCTGATAAAAGACACACAGTCTGGTACAAGTGTACTATTTTATTCACCCTTCCTGCAACATTGAAAACTCTCCAACCTATCTTATTAATTACCTTTAACTTCACTAAGATCCTAATTCTGTGATGTATTCATGGAGGGCACCAAATCTCTTAGTAGATTCCCTATTTTTTTCTTCTCTTTATATGACAACATCCTCAGGTGAATCATTACTAAAATAATACTTTGAACAGTAATTATTTGGGATTTGTATCCACGCATTAATCACGATGGATTGGTTGTGGGTATATATATCACCATTTGTAAACATTTATTGAACGCCTACTGTGATATACTAGTTGGGATTCACAGATTTTCTGAAATAAGCAATTCAAGTTAATGAGGGTAAGTTATTCTTGTTCACACTATGACTGTTGATATTTATCTGTAGAACAGTAATAAAAGCTTGCATGCCCTGCACTTACTATATGGGAATTACGATTTAAGCTCCTTACATATATTAACTCATTTTATCTTTACAACAATCTGTGGTATAGGTGCTATTATGGCCATTTTAGAGATGAAGGTGAGTGCCAGGTTAATTAACTTGTCAGCATCACACAGCTAGAACATGGCAGAGTTGGGGTTCAATCCAGGTGATTGACCCCAGAATCTGCACTCAGACCAACTCCACCATCCTTCATATCCTGTGGTCAAAGCAATAATTAAGTTTCCAATTTATATGATTCAAATTCCCACTAAATAAGAAAAAGGTTCTATAATTTAGCTGAATTTTAAATAAAAATACAAGTCAGTCACTTGCATTATTCCCTGAAATTCACAGAAATCTCTTATAATATTTTGTTCCAAAAGAACTAGGATCTTCTAAAGCCGTATGACTTCATTGTGTACATTAATTTCTTCATGCTCACACAACCCTGTAACCCACCAAGAGAGGGGGTAGGCTTAAAAATGCAGACTTTAGAACCCCACAGGAACCAAATCCCAGTTCTGTCACTCCTTAGATGACTTGGAGGAAGTAACTTGACCTCTCTGAGACTTGGTTTTCTCGTATTTAAAATGGGATGAGGGGCGCCTGGGTGGCTCAGTTGGTTGAGCGTCCGGCTTCAACTCAGGTCATGATCTCACAGTCTGTGAGTTCGAGCCCCGCGTCGGGCTCTGTGCTGACAGCTCAGAGCCCGGGGCCTGTTTCAAATTCTGTGTCTCCCTCTCTCTCTGACCCTCCCCCGTTCATGCTCTGTCTGTCTCTGTCTCAAAAATAAATAAACGTTAAAAAAAATTTTTTTTTAAAAAAATGGGATGAAAACAGTACGCTTCTCAGAGGATTAAGTTAACCTGCCAATGTAGAAGCATTTCGTTCTGCTGTGTTCTGAGTACTCAGTCAATGTTAGCTGTCATTATTGTCAGTGTTCATAGTCCCATAATGTACTCCACCCAGGCAGACATGGCACGGACATGGGAATTGCTACAAGTGAGAGTAAGTTTCTTTTCAACCAATGCAGCATTATCCCTTCAGTGATAATGAATGGCCCTTCTTTTTTAATCATCTTCAAACTTCAAGGGACTTCATCCAGTTTATTTTTGTCACTGTTATTTCTAATAACTGCCTCCTTAATTGCATCACGCTCCGATTTAAGGAGTGATTTTATTTTGAAGGAATCTAACAGAGACTGTGATTCTAATGAAATCATCCACCAAGAAAATCCGATCTTAATAATTGCAATGTGGAGAAAACTATCATGAACAATCCAATAGATGATTCAACACTCTAATTCAGGTGTGAAAGTAGAACTAAGGTATCAGTCATAATTAATGATCTAAAACCAGTCGTAACCATGATGTTGCATAGTTACAAAGCAACCATACAAATGTATTTTGATGATTTGGTAATGATGTAGATGCTTCTGTTTTTATCTTTTAATCATGGCCAGGTGAGTGAAACTATACATAAATTACCATCTGGTTGCCTGAATTGAATTTTCATTATGTTGAAGAAAACATTTTTTTAAGACAAATAGAATTGAGGTTCAGAGGTTCAGGATAGTCTATCACCTGCTAAGACTTGGCATATAGAATATCAAAGAACATATGGAGTTTTTGAAGTTTTGCTTGTAATATGGATATGTCATTAGGGTCTTAAGCTTCTTGGTGAATGTTAGCTCCCTATTGGTATAGAATATATCACTATTCTTGCACATGGTGAAGAAATATATGCGTATTTGCATTAGGATAATATTTAGTTAAAGGAATTATTATCCACCTAAATTACAAAAGTCAGAAAATAGAATCATTTGTAATTTATACTCCTCTTCATTATTCAATTACCAGGATGGTTACTTTACTGTATAAGTGTAACTTGAAATTGTTGTCTCCCTGAAATTTCTTGTGGACTAGTTTAGTTGAAGATTCAGATGATCATACATGAGGAGCTAGACGAGTATCATAAATGAATTCGTGGGTAGTAATAGTGAGTGGTGGGATCCTGGCCAACTGGAGGTGCCCTCAATGGGGTACAGCCAGTAATCAGCTAAAGAGGATGTTTGAGAGTTTCCCAGTGTGTGGGCCAAAAATATATATGCATATAAACTGCATATAAGCTGGATATAGCTCAGACTGCCAGTCTGCAAACTTTATCTCTCATCCTTTTCCACCTCATCACTTCTCTTCTGCATTGTGGCAGTGGCTCCTGACTTCTGCTGTATTTGTGTCCAGCCCTTTGTTTATACACCAGGTGATTTTTTTGCAAGACTCCAATGATCACTGTGTCACTCTCCTTTTTCAAACAACCTCTGCATCACCACAGTGAAGTGCAGATTATCTACCACAACACGTAAGAGGCCCTTTTTGAATCAAGCCTCTTCTTACTTTGTCAGCCTCACCACTCATCACTCTTCCTCCTTTATGAATAATGATTTAGAAATACAGAATTACGTACCTTTGTCCCAGTACACCATGGTATTGGTGCCCCTGTGTGTGTTCTCTGTAACTGCAATTTTGTCCTCATCTTGCCCAACTGATGGTCATCATTCAAACATTACTTAGGCCTCAGGACCTCTCTGAAGGCTCCCTCGTGCGTATTTCTAGGCTATACTACAAATGGTCCTCAAAACACAGCTCTCCTTAAATGCCTTACACGTGTCACATTGATCTGTTCAAGCCTGTATTCCACGTCTGCCCACTTTATTAACAGCTGTGTCTTCCTGCAATGAATAGATCTTCTCTGACTCTTTTTTTGTTCCCTGATGTCTAGCACAGTGCCTGGAACATAGTGTGTATTCTGTCATTGTGTGTGGATCTGAATATTAACTTGTTGCAAACACAATTTCCATATTCTGATATGAAAGTGGTAGGAAAGATAATGATGAATGTTTTTGTGGACATTTCTTAAAAGGGCAAATAATTAAAAATACTTTATCTCCAAGACAATAAATCTATTTTTTTTGATCCCTTAGTCATATAAGGGTTATATGTTTTCAGATTCATTTTATTCTAGGAATTTATTAGTTGGCATAATCGAAGAGAAAACACTGTTTAGGAAAGAGGACGAAACCTTATAAATCTCAGTTGTGGACTGATTTCAGAAAACACAAATACACTACTGACCAGTTGGACCATATCAGGCAGTACGTCCACTGGTTGTGTTTAATGGGCATTTATAGTATAGTGTTTGGCTCATGATGCTGTTTGAAGCAATCTTCTCTTTACACTACACTGAGTATATGGTTCATTTTTTTTTACCTGTGTGATTTATGTGTCTGTTTTCCGCAGCTTTTGTTTTGATATCAAAAACCATTAATCCTTCAAAGTCCTGCAATTGTGATATTAACTACCAACAGCTTTGATTTGGAATTGGCATGAGAGTATGCTTTAATGATTTTATAATAATTCTGATTTGTTTTTAAGCGACAATGTTTTTTACCACTGAAATCCTCAAATACAGAATTTCCTCTAACACTTGAATAAAAATATGTTCGCTCCCATCTAGGCCTCTGAGTTTGCTTCTTTTCATCAACCTTTAGTTAAGGCTAATGTTAATGGCTCTTAGTTTATTTACTGGCAAAGTACAATTTTATTTATTGCTTTTATGAATTATGGAGATATATATATCCCCATATGAATATATATGGATATATGTAAATTGTTGGCAATCAGTAATGAATTTTATTTTAATAACCCTATATGTTTTTTGAAGAAAACATATTAAAGGCTAATATCAGGGTCACTATAAACAATGTAATTTCACTTGCAGGTTGTTCTAATGACTACTATTGTCATTGACACCATTTTAAAAAAGTATAGGCTCTTCATGCCTCTGGGGTATAATTCATTTTTTGCCTAATTAATAAGAATAATATAATTCTTCAGCTTTGATAGAAACTATGATGGTGATTTTGGTGCCATTAAACCTGCATATGAAGTTTTTGGGTTTTGTTTTTTTTTTTTTTAATTACGGTTGGTGTGTTTGTTTGGAGAAGGGGTGTAAGGGGAGAGTGACATCAAGCAGGAGTTATTGAGAAGAAAACAACTAGAAATGTGTGGGTCTCTTAGCTTATCTGCTGAGACGCACGCACACTTCACTGATGGAAGTGTTTGCAAGAGAGTACAAAACCTCTGGGGGAAAAAAATGATCTAACATTTAGTTCATATGCAGGTAATTCATTCTTTACAGGACTTTAGGGGAAAAGGCCAAAAGCTATTTGCCATTTGCTTTTTTATCCCTTTATTGGGTTTTTCATAATTTTGAAAAATATTCCAGGATTCTGGCTTCACTAAGAGAAATCAAGCACTTGCAACTGAAGGCAAAGGAACTACTTTTTAGACAATAGAAAAGCCTAGGCATTAACTGTCTTTTTGGAACTTGGTGTTTTTCAGGGAATGATGTACCTGGAGGAAAGACGGCTTGTTCATCGGGATTTGGCAGCCCGAAATGTCTTAGTGAAATCTCCAAACCATGTGAAAATCACAGATTTTGGACTAGCTAGGCTCTTAGAAGGAGATGAAAAAGAGTATAATGCTGATGGAGGAAAGGTGGGTATCTTTTTAGAACAATATTGCTTGAAAATATAGTATGATATCCTTTTATCTCCTTATATGTTATAAGAAGAAGTCAATAAGCCTGAGGTTAAGAGATTATAAAATCTCAACTCTACCATTTGCCTTCTCTCCCACCCAGGGTCAAATGTATATATATGAACCAACTTCCATTTCTCAAAAGTAGCCAAAATAAGACAATTAATCTCTAGTGGTCCTTATGTCACATCCAGTGTGGGAAGTAGGTGGATCCTTCGGAAATCCAGATATTACACTTAAGGGCCATAGACATTATTTCATTGATCCTAAGAACGCAGGGCTAGCTACTACAGAGAGACCCAACTATTCTTTCATAGTAACCTGGCTAGTACCAAGAACCATAACTCACTGGAAAGTTCATCATCCTATTTAACTTTGAATCCTCCTATACCAGGTACAACAGATTCCTCTTAATATGGTTGTATTTTTTTAAGCTTTTATCATAGAATATGATTGACCAATTTACTTTATTTATTTTTTGATTCTCTCCACCAGAATGCAGCCTGCTATGTCCCAGGAATCTTAACAGTGCCATTGCCTCTTCTACTTTTCTGACTCTCTAGTCTCAGGCCCTGCCTGACAACTGTATTCCTGCCATATGGTCCCGGCTCATGCCTTAGTTCCGGCTCTTGTTTTTCTCATTAACCTGATGCTAAGATTGCTGGCCTTGGCTATACAAAGTGAGGATATCTCTTCTCCATCTGGAGGTCCCCCTAGCTTATATGGCAAAACTTGGACCAGGAGAGGCCAAATGAAATAAGCAAATGCAACCTTAACCTATGTATAAACTCATGCTAACAAAAAAAGTTATTAAAGTGTCATATAAATATATTTATCATGTGCCTTATTTATCATGAGCCATCCAAATATATGTTATAAATATTTTGCAATGCTTTCAAATGCTTAGCATTGATTTTATGTATCATGTAGTATATGATTTTTATATAACTTTGTATGATATCTTATATAACTATATATCTTCAAATCTTATCACAAGACAAAAGAAAATAAAATTTTAAAAAACTTAAGGTTTGTAGTATTTCCTGACCTTTCCTTGATTTTATTAGACTATTTTGCCTGTTTACTACCAAATTGCAGCAGTTTGAGACCACAGCTTTGAAATTCACTACAAGATTGCACAGTAGAATTCCATAAATCACATGACTTGACTTGTCTTAAGAACATACAGCTGTAGGATTTGTCTAAAGCAAGATTCATTATAGCTTTAAATGCCTAGTTACCATTAAGTCTTTATCAAGCCACCTGTGATTTAAACTTACTTCTTTAACACAATGTCCGTAGTCCATAAAGTCAGCTAACTCCTTGCCCATAGGGAAATTACTTTCAATGTGTCTTCTGTTCCCTTTCACTGAATGCCATGATTCTGTCATAGAGTTACCTTGATGTCACCTTGGTGAGCAGCGAACCTCATGATTTCAAAGGCCTATTTAGTTTTAAGCTTTCAACTGCAAAGTAGAAGTGTTTATCTTTATTCTGTAGAACCTAATTATATTTTCAGCTATATAATGCTGCCCTTCCTAGTTGAAACTTACTCTGCTGACCCATCATCAGCAGGGTATGTGAGTTGTTTTTCTTGTAGTGGTAATAGATTGGTACTGATCCTCTCGTATCCTTTTATATAATACCTATTTTGGTATGTATTTTCAATACTGGCTAACCAAAACAAGGGAGACCATTTGTGGCTGGGGAATAAAGCAAGCCTAACTTTGGAATACATTATTGTGGGTGTTTTAAGTGACCAGATTATATGAGAGGAAAAAGGAAAGGGCAAGTGTAGAAAGAGTCCATTGTACTGGTGGTCAGAAATGTTCTGAAGGGATAACTGAAAATGTAAGGAGTCTCATTTTGGGGGCAAAAATGTAATAGACCATATTTTTAGAAGCACATATCTTAGATGTTTAGAGTAGTATTGAGAGTCATAATAACTAGTAACTGAATTAATTGCTGAACATTAAGAAATAGAGAAAATGATACTTATTTTATTCTTTTACTTGTCATTGTTTTTGAAGCTTTTAAAAATATATCTTTAGGTTATTTCACTTTTAGAATTTTATAAATTTCAATTCATTGTTCCCTGTATTAAAAAATAACATTTATTATTAAGTACTGCTGGTGGGAATGCAAACTGATACAGCCACTCTGGAAAACAGTATGGAGGTTCCTCAAAATATTAAAAATAGAACTACCCTACGACCCAGAATTTGCACTACTAGGTATTTATCCAAGGGATACAGGTGTGCTGTTTCGAAGGGGTACATGCACCCCAATGTTTATCGCAGCAGCGCTATCGACAATAGCCAAAGTATGGAAAGAACCCAAATGTCCATCAATGGATGAATGGATAAAGAAGATGTGGTGTATATATATATATACAGGTGTATATATATATATACAATGGAGTATTATT